CCCCAAAGGCTACACAGGACAGCATAAAGGATCTGCATCCCCTCTGCATAAAAGATTCCACTTCTCATCACCCAGTACTGGTACCATAAACTTTTAGTATTTGCCACTCTGGAGCTTCTTGTACCAATCAATAAATTTTCTGAAGCATTATTCATTTGTCAAAATGCAACTGCTGTTGATGGGAAAACTCGAGATGACTAGGAAGGGCTCACACACGTCCTGACATCCCACGGGAGCCAGGCCTGTGAAAGGCAAGCAGCGTGAGGAGCACTTCAACCCCTCACCTTTTCGTGCCTCTGCTAATGCAAAAGAGGGGATGCACTATTAAGGATTAACTATTGATCTGTTAGTTTGCCCTCAGATTTAGATTCATTTCCCACTGCAGGGCAGGGGAACATTTCTTTCTCATGACAGGAATAAAAAATTTACTGTTACAGAGTAAGGAAAGGCATTTACATCTTTTCAAACAAACTCAAAAGTGTTAAGAAATATGCGAATTATGGTTAACTGTCTATTTAGGCCACAAATGCTAAAGAGCAAACTATCTTTCTCCTTGATCTGTTAGCAGAAATAGTCTTATAATTAAATGCAAAATTTTTAAGTTATGGCAGGAACTTTTCAGGCAGACATGTAACTTTTCCTACCTCCTGCCTTTGGAAAGCAGAAGGGCCAAGTTTAGATTCTCACCTTGTGTTCAGATCCCAGTCCTGAACCATACAAACCTGGATGGTGTAGGATCTAGTGGCTAAAACAAAACTTTAGCCACCAAACCAAACAGAATGGACTGCAGTGATGGACAAAACACTCAGGAGTGCCTGCAGAGTGTCTTGAGCAGCACAGACTTACAGTAGCAGGACAAGGAATTCTGTCACAGGGAATTTCCATGGATACAAGCAAATTTCCATGAAGTTATGGAAGAAAAACTTTTGTAGGCTGTAACCCGTGAGCTCCTCTTTTTGCTCCTGAAGCCCTGAACAGCAGATTAGAATTCTGCACCTTTGATTATCAGCTATTTAGCGAGATACTGAGGTGTTTTTTATTTAACAAATTGCCATGGAGCTCTCATCTCTTCCTTTCAGATGTCACATCACCTCTGGTAGCTGCTGTGAATGATGAGCAGTCATTCAGACTCCCCTCCCCAAGGCCAGCAACTGCACTTGTACATCGCTTTGATTTTCTGTGAATAAAAGATCACTTACGAGCCTGAAGAGATGCATTATTCATCTTTGAACTCCCCTGAAAAATCAGTTTAAACTGTTTATAGCTCCAGTTGTTTGGAACTCAGGTGCACAACTTTGACTCATGACCGAACAGGTCTGGCCAAATTCCTTTGGTGATGCCAGCCAAGGGCCAGTGCTCAGAGGGATCTCTGCTCCACAGCCATCCTCTGTTCTCACATCAGTAGCAATGCTTCTCACAGACATCTGTGTTTGATCCAGAGGAGAATCTCTCCCTTTACCTGTGCCGGGAATATTTGTAGATCCTACTGCAGCGATCACACACTCACAAAGCACAGGGCTATCCACATCTTTTCTTGGTGAAAAACGTATTTTATAGGGACATTTGCATTGAAATATTATCTTAATTTCTCCTCCTGTGGCATGTCTTCAATTTTCATTGTCTTAGCAGTGATTGTGTACTTCCTACTTCATCCTGAGGATGATCTTACATTGTCTTTGAGCTGCACAAGAATACACATCTACAAACCAGGCCATGCTGTCTTTTTTTTTAACCTCCTCTCTTGTACATGAAGTCTAGATTAAGTTAGGTTTTTTCTCACTGAAAACATGAGATAGTTTCCCCAGAGTGTTTTTCCGTTTTCCATCCAGACAGAAACAAGAAGGGAAGCAGGAACACGTTATGCTCCATCTCTCTGGGTTTGCAAACTGTGCTTGCGAAAAGTGCTGAGTTTAATGTGGTCTTGTCAACAAGCTCATTCTCTACAGCGAGTGACACTTTAGACTGTCTTCCAGCATTTTTAATGAGGGATCCCCTCACAGGCTTCAGGGATTTCAGCAGGATTTTAAGAGCCTTACACAATGTCACTCTAACCAGAGAGGAACTGACACTCCACAAAGCAAAGCAGCCCAGCAGTAACGACACCAACAGAGCTTTCATGTCAGTGGTTCTCCTTTAGTTTTACAAGAGTGACTGCAGGAGGAACAACCAGCAGGAACATTTGTCCCAACCTTAATTGCAAGCTTCAAAACCAGAAAATTAATTTCATATAGCCATGGTGTGCTCCTGCTTTTAATGCACATGCATAAATAGCGCTTTTAAAAACCTCTTTGGCAGCTCTGTGAAGAAATACATTATGACAACAACTCCAAATTTAAAGTTGAAAGACGTTTTTGGTTTAAGATTTTCGTCTCTTCCTGACAAAAAAGCTGTCTTGAAAAAATACTTCATGAACCTCTTCCAGCTAAAGAACATCTGTAGGCAGCTACTGTAAATATGAGGAGGGGGAGCACTTCCAAAAGGATTTTCAGGAACTCTGATTATATATACTCTCATATTTCCCTTCCTTTTCCTACTACCTCAGGTTGTAGGGGACATATTATTCATAGCAAAAGCTATTAAACACAAGTGATTTCTGACATTAGTCCACCTCGACACGACCTCCCTTCCCTCCTCCAAGTGTCACTGCCATAGGCTTAATTTTGCAGCAACAGAGCACAGAAGTGCAAATCCCATCCCCAGGGATGCCAAGGGTGCCATAGCGAGAAGGGAAAGCATTTAAAGGGAGATCCAGGAACATTTTGAATCCTATGGTTTATTCTGCTATCACGCCAAATGTGAGCTGCATCTGAATTTTGAGTGCAGAGCTCTACCAGCAGCATGGGGAGGAGAGGGAACAGAGTGTCACAATAAAGCACTGCAATGTTCTTGTCTTTTATATTGCACATCTGCAGTAAAGTTTGTTGCTGCTGTAGAGGGGAGGATAACGTGTGAGAAACCCTTGCACTGCACCAGAACACCATTGACCACTAGAAATTGCATTACCCTCCTCTACATAACACAGCTTCACCCTCTGTGGCTTGCTCAGGCTTCACCTCAGCACCTTCACTTCCAGGGGGTAACAGCACACACACACACACAATTTCTCTGGCTGGCTCTTAAGCAGCAGCTGAGCCTGAACCCAGCGTCAGAAATTGGGCTGAGGTCAATCTCCAAATAACAAAATGTTATTTTGGCTCAATGTTGCATATTTTGTCTTGGCTTTTGCAAGGAAATCAGTTTTCCAAGATTTTAGAGGTTTATGAGGTGGTTCTGAGATGTAACTCGTCCTGCTGCCAGGCAGGGATCAGTCAGCCACGTCTGAACTACCCTTACAGAGTCCCTCAGAAGGTCTGAGAGACCAGGAGGGTCCAGCAGCCCTGGGATACAGCCTTACTGAGCATATTGAATGATAAAGGTACTCAGCAGGAACAGTTAACCCAGAGCCATCTGTCACACACCTCACACCCCGTTTGCTCCCCCTTGCCCAGAGCATTTCCCCTACGTTCTTCCCTGTTTACCCCAGTACCAGCAAAGGTCCTATTTTTGTGAAGAAATGCAACACTGTGCAGAAGCTGGGGAGGGCCAGTCACACACATCCCACTGGGACATGTGCCAAAACTCAGAAGTCTAAAAGCAAGCCTTTTTCCCATTTAAGCCTCTGCTCCTCTCATACAAGAGGGGAACTTTTATGCCTCTGCAGTATTTGCTCCTGCACCTTTTGCTTCTTGTCCAAAAAAAAATGACAGAAAAAAAAATGTGAAAGGACTGAATTAAGTCTATCATTGGGAAAAGACGCTTTTTCCAGATAAATACAGCCCTTTCCTGGGTTACTGAGACTAAAATATTCTTTAAAACAAACTCTGCATGAATTTGAGACATTAAATCCCAAGTTTATGCCTTGGTTTTTCTTAGGGAGGTTTTTGTGCAACTCTACATTAGTCTGAGCTGAGTTGCCTGAAACAAAGGTTCCTGAATGTGATCAATTTTAAAATCTTCTCAAATTGAAGAGTCTTTCAAGGTTCTTACTGCAATTCCCATATTTAAATACGAACAATTTTAAAGGAAAACATACAGAAATTTCCATTCTGAGTTGCAAAAGCTTTGAAGTCACAAGTATTTCAGTGTGTCAGGGACAGTTCTCTGGCAAATTTGAGTGTTATTTTCCTGGAATAAGTGATCAAGTGAGCTGATGTGAGTCAGTCTCTGCTATACAAGACACATAAGATTTACCATTAATTCGGAGCAGTTCAGAACATTAGCACTAAGCTGATGCTGGTGCATCGACTGAGGTGGAGGAAAGGCTGCTGGTTTCTAGCACCAGTACCTGGGGGAAAGAGGAACAGGATTTGGAAGGACTGACTCAGACTGGAAAGAGATTCCATTTCACACAGTTTTTGGTATAACCTCCTCATTTAGCCTTAGCCAAGTAACAATCCATCTTTCTGGGGCACAAAGCAACACACCAAAATCAGAACCACAACAAAGAAAACAGGTGCTCCTAAATCATCAGTTCAGGGTCTCACTACAATTTAAAATGAAGTCATCTGCCAGGGGTTATCTCTGTGGCTTGAGAAATAAAGCACAATACCCTGGGTGGGAAGACAGGCTTTCAATCTTTGTCGCCTAACTACTGTCAGAAGACAAGCGTGGTGGAAACCAGTCCCCAAACATGTAACACAGACACCACGTTTTCCTACTTGCCTTTTTTCAACGGCCAAGGAATGAATGCGTGTGACTCTCAGGGACTGGGTCTGAGCCACATTTCTGAAGGCAGAAAGACTGCATAAACACAGCTCCAGTGTGAAGGAGAAATAGATCTTTGTGGCAAACTGAATTTAGCAACGTCACCAGGAGCTTCTGACTCAGCCCCGCTCTGCCCAGCTGCGCGCTCCAACCACCACCTCCCTTCGTACCTGCCAAACCAGCCCCATTCAGCCCACCTGGAGCTCTGCCACGAGCAGCTGGACAGAAGATGACTGATGCAGCTGTAAAGCAACATCTAATGAAGAAATTCTTTTTTATTTCAGGGCTGTAATTAAGCCATACCTCGTAACACTGCCACCGGCTGAGGCAGGAAGGCTACTGACGGGTCGTACCAGGAGAAATGGCTGATAGGATCGGGTTGTTATTCCACTTCAGACCAGTTCATATTGGCTTGAGTCAACCTCAGACCAGTCTAACTTTGCTGTTTCCTTGCCTGCTTCTGCTGCCTGGCAGGTCTCCCAGATAAAAGGGCTGCTTGCATCGCCCAGGCACAGAGGAGGCTGCTCTGGCTCTGGACATTAACAGGAAGGTCTTGCACAGGCTCCAGTTTTCCAGGGAAAGTGCAAGACCCCACTGCCAAATGTTCCACCTTCAAACAGCTCAAGTCTGCTGCTCCCACTGTCCCTGCAGGCCGGTGACTGTGGTTTTCATTGTACAGGGACACAAAACACCCCATAGATGCACTTAAAGCAAAAGATTTAAGCACTTTCAGGTTAGCATTCCACCTCCTGCAAGTCAGGCTTAACATCTCCCTTCAGTGGGCTGCCCGGACAGCTTAGTCAGCTCCCGGGTGGGCACGTCTGCCTGCTGAGCAACTCAAAGCTGAGCTGACAGCTCCCTCCTCTGTCAGAAAGCACTAAAAGCGAGCAGCCTAAAAGTCTGTCCGAGCGTCACTTAGAGCAGGAGACTTGAATAGCCAAGGTTATTATGCATTTTGTCTCACCTTTTGCATGCAGACAGGAGTTTCCCGGTGGTACAGGACCCTCCTGCCAAATGCACCGAGTGCTGCTAAAGCTCCAGTTCTCATCCTGCGCTGCTGCAGCTGAGCTGGGTGAGCCTCTCACAGCAGCAGGGCATGGCCAGGACCTGCTTTCCCTTCCAGCTGTGAAAGCTCATGCCATGTGTCCTGCTCTTGTCCTTCTGAGGTTTGGCTTCTCCAGAGTGCAGCAGCAGGAAGGGAGCAGAGCACAGGCACTGTCCTGCCCAGGCAGGACTGCAGGTTCCTGTAGTAGGTCACTGCCAGGTCTGTCTGTCCTTCCTGCCCAGCTACAGCCTCTTTCACACTGAGGGGGTACCCACCAGTCCTTTCCTTCTGCCTGCAAGAAAAAATATTGGATTTACTGAGAATTTAGTGAGAGGTTGAAACTACAAATGAAAATTTAGTCCCAGGGGGATGCTATCCCTGATGTGATCCCACTGCTGACATGCCAGCCTGGGATATAAGTGGAGTGTTGCATGTGCTGAACGTTTTTGTGCCTCATGCTTAGGGCTAAAGGCTTTTATGCTGGTTCTTGAAACAAAATTGGAAAAGGAGGGCATGGGCACTTCACAGAAAAAACAATTTTGAAATACTAGTAAAATGTTGGGGAAGCTTAATTATTTCAGGATCAAGACGCATCAATATATTCTCTTCAGTTTATCCTTTAAAATTTAAAGTGGAAAGTGGTTTTATTTCACTGTCTCGTGGTATAGTTTACTAGAGCTCCTTCAAATATTTCTAAATTCAGAAAACAGGAAGAAAACTATCAGATTATCTTAAACTGCACAAAAAGAGTCAATATTAGATGCCTTACTGTACAATTCAAATCTTCTATTCCCTCTCTATTCTCTATTGTTTTACAAAGCATTAAAGTTTCTCTAACAGAGTTATTGTTGGATCCCACTAAACATCTCTGAATTTTGTCTGTTCTGCACCATTTACGAACTCAGAGTTCTGGGATAATTTAGTCTTTGAGCATAAACTGGACTTCACTGGTCTTGCTTGCTGCCTGCTAGGAAAACTGTAGATTTTTCTGATAGGTTTTTAATTCAGTTAAGTCTCTCTGCACATACCACAAGGTAAGCTTACTCATTGCCATTGCATTTTCTTGCCACAGCAGCTACCACGCACTTGAAGCAAGGCTGCTGTGTTGGTGTGAAATAAATTAAATAATTGTCCAGCTTTCAACTGAGACACAAGCTAAGAGAATTATGCAAAAAATAAACAACTTGTAAAAAAATGATAGTGAAATATGGGAAAGGCTTTCAGGACTGCAGGAGGAGCTGCTTGTGCTCTATTTGTGGGAGAGAGGAAGGTGGGTCACGCTGGGATTAAGGGATGAGCTTGTGCAAGTCACTGCTGTCTGGAGCTGTCATACCCAAGAGCCAGTCAGGGTCTCTAAGAGGTACAGCCTCCTGGATACACAATCCCAGGTAGGGACACGAGATAAACTTTCAGTTCAGGTAATAAATCTTCACAGGAGGAAACCGGGAGGATCCCACGCTTGGGCAGAGAATACAGAACACAAAGATTTCTGATGGCTTTGCTGTAGGATTTTAAAGGCCTGTGTTCCTCTGAGCCTCGAGTGTTTCCATACCAGGGATTCTCTCAGTGGGAAATACAGAGCTGCTTTCTCCCGCAATCCTGCAACAGGGAAGCCTGACCCATGCCAGCTTGGAGGTGCCTGTGTCAGACACTTCAACTGCACTGAGCTGGGGCTCATAGGCTTCATTTCTCCAACCACGCCCAAGAGCCTGTGTTGGACTAGAGGCCAGCAACTTTTGGGAGCTTCTGTTCCCCCTCTGCATATCAGAGGCTTTGGATTTCCCTATCCCTGTGAAAACCCTCTCTGTGAAAACTCCCCGTGAAAACCCCCTGTCCAGAGCACTGGAATTCTCCCTTTTGTTGGGGCTGTTTTGACAGCAGCACATTGACAGCACCCACGGGCCCAGCTGGAAGCTACCGCCCATGGACAGACACAGGCAAATTAATTGCTACAGCAACAGGGAAGGAGGAGGCTAAAGGTCTGGCTTTCAAGGTGGCCACTTCCTTCAGGACTTCAGACAAGTGACTTGCCCTTCAGGATTCTTTATCTGTGAGACAGATCAAAAACTAACTTGACCAAGGCCTGCACTTGGCCTAAATGCAGTGTAGACTGGGGAGAGAGAAAGAATGATGTCCTACATGGAAGAAATAGATCTCCTTTTGGTTTGGGCTCTGCTGCTTTCACATTTTTTTTTTATACTGGCACCATTGGGAGAGTTCCCATTTGCTTAATTAGGCCACATATGAGGAACCTGGGAAGACACTTTGTATATTTGGAGTGGCTTGACCTGCTAATTTTCCTCCTTTATGAATGTGAGCAGCCTGGGTTCAGATGAAAGTTCCTGACTTTAGGAGGAGCTGGATATCCAAATCAGCTGCAAAGGGTAAGTTGTTGGAGATTTTTGTTTTGTTTTTTTTTTTTTTAAATGCCACACAGGAACCCACATTTTTACTGGGGTAGACAGTAAAACACACTGCTCTAGAACAAAGACAACACTGACAGATAAATGGACTTCTGTCCCAATGTCAGAGGTGGAGGTGTACTGGTCAGCCACAGGGAAAACTATCATAGGCCTCTTGACTGTGCACGCTGTCAGCTGTCTGTCAAGAATCAGTACCGAGCATTTACCAGTTTGTATCAAACATTTGCTTGATTAAAAAAGTTAGCTCCTTGCAATGCTTTACAGGGACATGCTTAGTGACAGGGGCTAAGCAGCTCCTTCCTCACAGACAGAGTGCAGGCCATAAAAAGGTCAGGCTAAAGTTAGCTGGCAATGCAAATGCTGTCAAATAAGGAAGGAGCGGGGATGGGGACAAGCACTTAAGATCATGTACTAGGATTGGCACAGCACCAGCTTCTAGGGAAACCCAGGTTAAATAGGTTATCCCCACATGCCAGCTAAAGGCTCCTGCGCCTGCTGCACAAGGGAACCCTGAAAGACAGCAGAGAGTATTTGTCATCAACCCCCTCTGTACACGCATTCCCTTCCCAGTGATGCCCCCCAAGTCCCCTAAGGCCAGTTCCACCTGTTGAACCTTCTCAGGTGGGCAAGGAGGGAAACAAGAATGAGGTAGTACCCTTCCTCTAGGATACACTGCACCAACCACAGGGCTCTGCATCCTGGGACAAGGGCAATCCTTGCCATCAGGCTGACCACAGACATGCTCAGGAGATCCTGTCAGTGAGAAGTGGCAGTGAATCCAACCCTTCCAGCCCCTTCCTACACTGCCTGTGAGCTCCCTGGCTTCCTCCAGCTCCAACAGCTCTGCCCAGTGTCTGTCAACAGCACAGCTCACCGGCTCCACTGGAAGCAGGAGGGAACTGAAAGGCCCACAGGCAAATGGAGCACAGTGATACAACTCCATGTATGCCTTCCAGTGAGTCAATTATGTTGGAAAAGACCTCTGACATCATCGAGTCCAACCTATGACCAAACACCAAATCAACACAGCATTAAGTGCCACATCCAGTGTTTCCTAAGCACCTCCAGGGATGGCAACTCCACCACCTCCTTGGGCAGCCATTTCAATAATCATCCTTTCTGTGAAGAAATTCTTCCTAATGTCCAACCCAAACCTCCCGTGGCACAGCTTAAGACTGTGTCCTCTTGTCCTATCACCGGCTGCCTGGGAGAAAAAGGTCAATCCCAACCTGGCTATAACTTCCTTTCACGGAGCTGCAGAATGATAAGGTCAGTCCTGAGCCTCCTTCTCTCCAAGGTGAACACCACCAGCTCCCTCAGCCGCTCCTCACAGGACTTGTGCTCCAGACCCCTCACCAGCTCTGTTGCCCTTGTCTGGACCCGCTCCAGCACCTCAGCGTCCCTCCCGAGGGACCCAGAGCTGGGCACAGCACTCGAGGTGGGAATCCACTAGAAGAAAACAGGGAACTGAGCGGACTGTAGGCAAACGAGGCACAGTCACACAAATCCCCGGCGCCGGGTGCTCAGAACTCCCGGTTGCTCAGTACTTCCCGGTGCTCAGTACGCCCGGGTGCTCAGTACTCCCGGGTGCTCAGTAATCCCGGGTGCTCAGTACTCCCGGGTGCTCAGTACTCCCTGGTGCGCATTACTCCCCGGTGCTCAGTACTCCCGGGTGCTCAGTAATCCCGGTTGCTCAGTACTCACGGGTTCTCCAGTTGCTCCCGGGTGCTCAGTACCCCGGTGCTCAGTCTAGTACTATCCCGGGTGCGCATACTCCCGGGGCTCAGTACTCCCGGGTGCGCAGTACTCCCGGGTGCTCAGTACTCCCGGGTGCTCAGTACTCCCGGTCGCTCAGTACTCCCGGGTGCTCCTCCCTCCCCAGGCCCCGCCACACCCCAAACCCGCGCGGCGTAAATAGCACCGGGGCTTTTATAGCGCCCCTTCCCGGCATGCCCCGCGCGCAGCCGCCGCCGATTGGCCCGCGAGTGGCCGGGGGCGGGGCGGGCGCGCGCGGGCCGGGCGGGGCCGGGCCGGCCGGGCGGGGGCGCGCGCGGCGCGCGGAGCCGGGAGCGCGCACGGCCCGCCCCGCCCCGCCCGTTTCCGCCGCCGCCGCCGCTCGCGCTTGGGCCTGTGGAGCAGGAGGCGGCGGGAGCCGGACCAGCGCAGGCCGCAGGTACTGGGGGGGCTCCGCGCCGGACGGGGACGGTGTGAGGGCGGCTCGCCGGCTTCTCTGCTCCCTTCCCGCCGCCGCTGCCGCCGCCGGGTGGGGCCCGCCCGCCCCCGCCGGCAGCCCGCGGCCTTGCGGGCGGGGGCGGCCGGGCCCGGCCGGGCCTCTCGCCGCCACCACCGCGCACAAAAGGGAGGGAGGGCGGGCGGGGGCGGCCCCTCCGCGAGTTGCCGGAGCCCGGTAACGGGGCCTTTTCCGGGCGGCGGGAGCGGGGGAGGGGAGGAGACGGAGGGGCGCGGCCCCGGGGCTCCCCCGGCGGAGCCGCCCGCGCCCCGCCCGGGTCTCGGTGCCACCGCCCGGCCGTGGGCGGTGCGGGGCGAGGCGGGGGCGGCGCGGCCCCCGCGCGGTGACACGGGCGGCACTGGGGGTGTCCCGGTAAGGGGCGGCCCGGGGTGTGACGTCACCGCCGCCGGGGCCGCGCCCCGCCCGCCCCGGGGGTCGCCCCGGGGTCCCGCCCGGGGGTCCCTGCGGAAGGGGCTGCCCGGGGGTTGTGCGGGGTCCAACTTGTAGCTCGGGGAGGAATCCCCCTCCGGAGCGAGACGGCAAAGTTTGGGGGGTGGTTTTCTGCCCGGCGGGTGTGCCGGGGAGCGCCCGGCGGGTTTTGGCACAATCGGGGTCCTGAAACTGCCCGGCCTTAAACTACAAGCTGCCCGAACCGTGCGTGCCAAGGGGCGACAGGAGCTTCGAGACCACTTCGGTTGCGTTTCAGTCTGAAAAAATGACCCAAAAACTTCTCATAGAGATTTGCAGAGTTAAAGTCATTATAGAGGCTCAGGACAAAGTATTGTTCCCACTCAAATGATACCACAACTACTTTGATATCCCTTTAAGTCTGTCCCTGCGAGGTGTCTGGAGGGGAGGTTTGTTTGTTTTCAGTTGCTGTCTCATATCCAGCTTTTGTTTCTCTCTGGTGCAGTTCACCTGTTTGTTGTAGGGAACTCTTCATGAGTAGTGGTTCCCACCCACCCTTTCTCTGTGTGATACAGGATTTGCAGAAAACTAAACCCTAAGACTTACCTAGGGAATGTTATGTTTGTTGTTGCTTTTTTTTTTTAACCCCAGAGCTTTAACTAGGTAACAACTCTGCCATCTGTGTGACTTTGAAATGGCCTGTTTCTTCTAGAAGCAAACTTTTATCCTCTCAAAAATCTCAAAAGTTAGTTTTACGTGCCCTAAGTGTTGTTTGTGACTGAAAGTATTACATTCTCCAATGGCTTTCTTTGGGGATTTTTTTCCCAGTATGGAAATATAAAGTCTCTCCCTCTCTGAAAAGATTATTTGTGAAAATATTTGCTTTCTGTTGAAGGCTCTTCTGATGCATCTGTGTGCCTTCCTCCTACCCTGTTCTGGCCTTACCCAGGTCTGCAGTCACACAGCACTGCCATTTCTCTTCTCTCAGATATACAGTCTAATTCTGGCTCTGATTTGGACCGAGGCTGCATGTTTAAAAAAAGAAAAACTGCCATTAGCCTTATTTCACTTTAATTAGTTCGCTGGGATGTTTAACAGCGTATTCAGCATAAACGCTTGACATAAATTAATTTGAATAGGCGATTTGTACCATTTAACACTAGAATACACGGAGGGTTGTTTTTTTTTAAAAAAAAGTTTCTCAAGACATAAATGCACCTTCACACGAGGGGCAAAATAAACTCAGTCACAGCAGAGCTCAGCTGAGCAGCTCTCATGTTATCCCTCCTCGTTCTCCAAGCTCACGCTCTGGCTCAGTGCCACAGCGGCCGAGCGCCAGAGGCGGGGAGTTCTCTGAGCCAGGAATTGACAGTAAAAACATCCTAAATGATCCTAACCACCGCTAGGATGTAGGACTGGTGATGGCTCTTCAGATAAGCAAATTCCAGATAAAAAGCAGTTTGATATTTTGGAGGGGGCTTGGAACGTTCGTCATCTTTGCTTGTGTTTTTTCACGGTAGCTCCATGACTCTGTCCCAGTAAACACGTAGTAAGGGGTAAAACTCTCTGATACAGAACAAATAAATGCACCAAATGGTAGCTGACCTTCCCTCCCGGGGTACAGCCATGCATCTGCACACACCTGGATGGAAATCCTCTGCTCCTTGCCTGCTGATGGGATTCCTCTCCTGGTGTGAATAGCTGAGTAGCTAAATAGAAAGAAGTAGTTGCATATTACTTTTGAGATCATCTCAAAAATAAGCACAAATATCCTAAAAGACTGTCTGTGGTACACTGGTTAAGTTATTGTTGCTTTTACACCAGTGCCAGGTGTCTGGGTGCTTTCTGGCCTTTATTATCACTCATTCTGGACTCTGAATAAAAGTACCAAAAGCTTAATTGGAGTTGGTAGGACAACACTGCATTGTCCATACTCTCTTCTGTCCTTTTACTATCACCATGTTTTCACTTGGGAAGAACATTTGAGACTGTAAAAGAACTAAGGTATCCATAGACCACCTTTTAATTAAGATATTTGCCATCCACACAACTAACAGCCAGTCCTTCCTAAGTGAATCATCTAATTAAACTAATGAGGAGAAGGTTTGCTGTCTTTCCCTGACCATCCTTCATGACCAGGATCCCTGGTAAAAGGAACAGATGGAAAGTCACAAATATACCCAGTAGAATTGGGCAGTACACCCACAACAAATATGAGGTTTTGCTTTCCTCAGGCTCTGACAGTTGTGGGTTTTCTGCTTGCTTTTTTATTGTTGTTTTTTAATCAGAAACAGGGCTTAATTCAATCTCTTTGCTCAGTTAATTAGCAGTGCTTTGCAACCACAAATAGTTCTGTCTCACCTGGCCTGAACTGTCACATTTGGAGCAGGTCACCAGTGTGGATGTGTACACAGTGATTCCTCCTTCTCATCTTCACAGTTTTAATGAAAGTTATCCTTGCCTGTGTCAGGGGTTTGAAAGAACCAGCAGCTCTCCAAGTACCAGTTATCTCTGTTTGCATTCTTTGCTAACATTTCGTTTTTCTTATATTTCACACCTGGAGGCTCTTTATTCTTCACCTCCTGTCTGCTCTGTTGCAACTGTGGGAGGTGAGAAGGCCATCTTACAGTGGGATCTTGACTTGGTACTGACCAAGTAAATTGGCTCATTTTTTGAACCTCAGTCCAGGAGCTGTTTGGAAAGGCTGGGTTCCATGTAAACCGCAGCAGAACTAGGCTTCTGCGCTTGAAATTGAAAATATTTTTGGGAAGATTTTAAATTACACTGTGGAATGTTGACAGATGAGAATGAGCATGCAGTTTGGGATAAAGAAAGTATTAGAAATAAGAGTACAGCCTTCAGAAAGTTTTAAGTCATGAAGTTGACCAGAAAAGTAAATAAAAACGTGAACTCTGGCAAGTCAAATGAAAAATAAAAGGACCTGCCAGAGAGACTCTGAGCAATGTCATACTAATGGCAAAAAAACCAAAAAAAAAACATTTTCCAAGTACATCAGAAGCAGAAAGGTACTGGAGTGAAGAAGTGAAAGAAATATTTGATGATGAAGGCATGAGTAGAAAGTTAGATGACTTATGTGTGTTCCTGTTTCCCGTGGAGGAGTCCAGGAGTCCAAAGAGGTTCCTATGCCAGAAATTCTCTTTATGGGGAACAGGACTCATTGGAAGATCTGTCTGTGCTTGAATTGTCAGCAAAGTAATTTTTAGAGCAAAGTGATAAATACAGTTAAGAGATGCCAAGACCAGATGGTGCTCGCCCAAGGGTTCCAAAGGAAACTTGGGCCTGAAATGACCAAATTATTAATTACACTGTGTAACTTCTCACTTAATACCTTGAAGCCAGAGAAATAGAAGATGATTTACATGGTAGCAGTTCTTAAAGATAGTTCAGCAGGATATCACAGAGTTCAATGCATTTTTAAAAAATAAATGGTAAAAAGAAGTAACCAGATGGACTAACAACTTACAGTAGGAGAAAGCTGGTGTGACTTTTGCAAAGGAAACAGTGCAGGTTATATCTGTTGGAGGTTTTAAATGACTCAACAAGGACAGAGAAGGGAAGTTTGGGGCAAGAGAATAGGGATGTGTGTTACACCTCTACTGCTCAGCATACTCATAAATGTTCTGGTGAGAAAGGTGTTGAGCAGAAAGGGAAGAAACAGCAAGAGCTGGCTAGGAAGAATTGCAACTTGTCCTTCTGACATGAATTACAGGCAGCAAAATGCCAAATTAAATTTGTTCCAGATAAATACAAGGGGGGGAAGTCTTAATTTGTTTATGCACTGATGGGGTGAAAGTTAATTATTGCCACTTAAAAGGAAG